AATCAGGGGTGGAAATGTCCCTTATGCTGTGTGAGAAGATCCAGCTGAGAGAGCTGTTTACTCGGTGCTTTGTGCTGAACTGTTTGACTGGAGCTGTGTGTTGGATATTGAGTGTGTTTGTTGGAAGCATTTCCCTCTGATTTCCAGCCTGAGTTTTGTTGATGGCTCATCCCTGAATATAAATTATAGAATCCCTACAGTGTGAATAGAGGCTATTTGGCCCATCGATTCAGCACTGACGCTCCAAAGTGCATTCCACCCAGACCCAGCCCCTACCCCATTCCCGTACCCTCACATGGACCCTGGCTCCTGGACACTACAGAGAATTTAGTATGGTCAATCCACTCAATCTGTACATCTGTGAGATAGTGAAGTGCAAAGTGTCTGGGCATTCTTACTGATTTCCTGATGTTGAGTTCTGAGTGTGTTGGGAACTGGTTATTATCCTGTGGACTGTCAATTGTTGAATTCATTGCTTCCCCTGGGGAAAGACCCTGAAGTCCCTTTCTGAGCCTATCAATGCCCCCAGCCCGGGACCACCTGGAGAAGAATAATTAGGGATCGGCAACAGATCAGTTTTAACCACATCCTGTTAACTTTGAATAAGAAAAGACTGAGGAGTCAGCCCCTTCAGCAAAGAAGAGGGAGTTCGATGAAATCATGTTTCTTTTTCATGTTTTACAGAAGGATTGAACTGTATTGCACTAGAGAATACAGAGAGGATACACACTGCAGATAGATTCTGACCATCACCCAAGGAACAACTGCATAACTGTGGGAAGACATCCAGTCCCTTCACAGCATTGCTCAACACAGAGAAAGTTGGGCAGTGAAACCATCATACGGAAATCAGTCAGATCAGGGAGGTTTGACTTATCATCAGATCCGACACTGGTCAGTGGTGTGGAGCCTTCCATCAGAACCAACCTTTCTGAAGGTTCAGCTGTGGGTGATTGGTCAGGGTGAGGCTGGGAAGAAGTGTGAGTGGGCTCCAAGTGTGGTGAGAGCTTCAGTCATTCATCGAGCCTCATGACCCACTGACTCATTCCTACAGAGGAGAGGCTGTTTTTGATTGGGAGCAGAGTTCCTTACCTGGTAATATCTGTTAATACACAAGGTGCATCGGTTGTTTAACTGTTAAGACAGAACTGTTAATTGCATGGAAGACAAACATTTCCAGTGTGACATGTGTGACCGAGCTTTTGCAAGGTCCTCAATGCTTGTAAATCACCAACGCATTCACACTGGGGAGAAGCCTTTCAAATGCGAGGAGTGCAACAAGGGCTATGCACGATTATCAGGTCTGGTGATTCACCGACGAGTTCATACTGGGAAGAAACCGTTCACATGTGAGGTGTGTGAGAAATCATTCTTACAGTCATCAACCCTCCTCATGCACCAACGCATTCACACAGGGGAGAAACCATTCACATGTGAGATATGCAATAAATCATTTTCACAGTCCTCAACGCTTGTTGTACACCAACGCATTCATACAGGGGAGAAACCATTCAAATGCAAGGTGTGTGACAAATCCTTCTCATCATCATCAGAACTTCGTGTACACCAACGTATTCACACAGGAGAGAAACCATTCAGTTGTGACTTGTGTGGTAAATCATTCTTGAGGTCATCAGAACTCCGTGTCCATCAACGCATTCACACAGGGGAGAAACCATTCACCTGCGAAGTATGTGACAAATCATTCTCGTCATCATCGCACCTCCGCGTCCATCAACGTATTCACACGGGGGAGAAACCATTCACCTGTGAAGTCTGTGACAAATCATTCTCATCATCATCAAACCTCCATGTGCACCAACGCATCCACACAGGGCAGAAACCATTCCGGTGTGGGATGTGTGACAAATCATTCTCTCAGTCAGGAGACCTCTGCACGCACCATCTCATTCACACAGGGGAGAAACTGTTTAAGTGTGAGATGTGTCAGAAATCATTCTCCAATTCATCGAGACTCCTGCGCCATCAGATGATTCATACAGGAGAGAAACCATTCAGGTGTGAGATGTGTGGCAAATTATTTTCACAGTTAGGAGACCTCCACAGTCACCAACGCATTCACACAGGGGAGAAACCATACACATGTGATGTGTGCATGAAATCATTCTCTCATTCATCAACCCTCCGCAGACACCAACGTATTCACTCGGCAGAGAAACTATTTGCTTGTGAGGTGTGTGACAAATCATTCTCAAAGCCATTAAGCCTCCTGCTGCATCAGAGGACCCACACAGGGAAGAAACTATCTGTGTGTGAAGTGTGTCATAAATCATTCGCGAATTCATCGAATCTCCGCAGACACAAAAGCATCCACACAGGGGAGAAACCATTCACATGCGAAGTGTGTGACAAATCATTCTCAAAGTCCTGGAACCTCCTGCTCCATCAGAGGATTCACACAGGGGAGTAACCCTTCAACTGTAGGTTTAACATTCTGTGCTGGTTTCAACTACCTGGGATACTCCAGGATTTACACAGGGTAGAAATTCTTCAGGTGTGATGTTTGTGACTGTTTTTGCATAGTCAGCATATCTCCTGGTCCATCAATGCTTTCACCAGGGAGATGCCCTTCAGAGTCAGTTCTGCAGTAAAGTTTTTACACTGTTGTTGGATCTCTTGGAACATCAATGAACACACACCAGAGCCAATGCACCTGTGCCAGGATTGATTCATATCCTCCTCCTCTCACCACACACCAACATCTCCACACAGACTTGGAGCTGGGTCACCTGCTCCATCAGACTGAGAGCTGTCTGTGTTGTTTCCCCTCCAGTGCTCACACAAGGGAGCTGTCATTCCAGAGCACTGTCTGTCTCAGCAGGTCTATCTCTCTCATGAGCAGACCAATGATTTCAAGGTCAATTTCACCTTTTGACCAGACCACCAAACACCACAAAAGAAGACATTAGCAGAGGGTCACTTCAGCTATAATGTTTGTAATGAACTCACTGTCCAGGGCGTTCAGTAGTATTGGGGCGTAGAACTAGAAGCAGCTTTCACTTTCCATCAAACAACTAGGGATGACAACAGCAATGCTGAGGGATTATAATATCAATTTTTGAGTTTTGATTTTTTTTTGATTGTCATGTTACAAATAGGTAACAAGTTTTAAAATAAATCTCTCTCCCTATTCTCACCACTCGTCCATAAGCAGAATGTGATTTAAATTTTCCCCTAATTTTTAACAATGGGTGTGTATTTTCCACACTCACTATTTTTGAGGGCTCTAACTTTGTAAGGACCGCAACAAGACTGTGATCATGAAAAATAGGATATATTTCACACACTGGTTGGTGGTCAGTGAATTCTTCACAACACAGGCACACTTATAATCACACAAGGAGATTTAAAAGCAGAACAAATAGATACAGAGGTTCGGATCAATTTGTAATCAATTAATCATAAAAAATGATGGATACCAGTTTATCAGTGTTCTTGTTTTTAAATCCAGAGTCAGATAGGCCAAATTTAGAGTTGGCAGTCTGGAATTTTCATATAGAGTGATATTGATTAGCTCGCCAGCAATTGAATTGTAGGTAGCTTATTTTTAAAAATCCCTTTAAAAGTTTTCTGAGGAAGTTTTGCTGAAACGCACTTCTACTTCGCTGTTTTGATGAAAGCAGATTTATTTACAGAATGCAAAAATACGGGTTTGTGGCTCCATTTTCCATGCCAGAGGCTTCTCCTTTGTCACCCAGAATTAAGTGTTGATTTTATCAGTAAATGTGGAATGGAGCAACATTGTCCCCTAAACTGTCTGCCGTTTCGGAACTGCAATTAAGAAGTATTCAATGCTGTGGAAGTCACATGACTAAACCTCCTGGTGGAGTAGAAGAAGTTACTTTTAAGACAAATGCTGCCTTGCAGAGAGCCGGCTGTTTATGACTCTTTACAAGGGTTAAGGGAAAAGTTATTAATACATCTTCTTATAGGATGGATGTAACTTTCAGTTCTATTGTGCGAGGGATTCTTTTTGAGAGTTGTCCCTGTAGCAAATTAAAATACAATTGTTCATCTTCCAGATCCATCAGGAGATACCTGAGTGTCAGTGGTCTGGCTGATATTGACTTTGACGAATTTTGTGGAAGATTTTTGTGAAGTTCAGTTATACAATTAAAGCAGTCATCTTTGTTGGGCTGTTTACTGTGTTTTTAAGAAGTCATACGTATCAACAATTGATTTGTTCTTTGTGTATGACACGACAATGGAGCCACCCTGCAGTGTGATGTCAGTGACACAGGACTTGGAGCAATCCCCATGCAGTGAGGGCAACCCGTTGGGTTTGTATCCAGAGCGTTAACACACACTGAACAATGCTGTACACAGACGGAGAAAGAGAGCCTGCCTGTTGTTTTTGCTTGTGAGCTTTTCAACCACTAAAACCACTTCAGTGTTTTCTAAAGCATTTGAACAGGGTGTTACTATTATGACCAAGATGGGAAGAGTGCACTGTCACTCTCTCTTTAATCCCACTGCTCCAAGGGCGCAACATCAATGTAACTGTTTTACCTTGTTCCCAATATGGTCAATCTTATGCTTAGTCAATATTAGACTTAGAATAAAAAGATCCACCAACCAGGTTGCTTAAATCAAGACAAAATTATTGACAACTTATTCAGTGAAGATGTAGAACTGGTTAACACACAGTTTGCAATATGAAAATATAAATGTTTACACCTTTAATAACACAAAACACCCACACACACATCATGTAGAGGAGAAAATAATGATTTCTCTTATAGAAATTCATATTGGACAAAAGCACTCTTGGTGAATACGGGTTATTTCTTGAAGGAAAAAGATAAGGTGTGGAACGTCCAGCTGGCTGTCAACCTGGTGTTCTGGCACATATAGACAGGTCATTGTCTCTTAGTCTTGGCAGATGCATCTTGCCCAAGAAACACAGTATTGGTAAGTTTGTAATACCAAACTGTACCAAAACTGGAATTTTAGTTTTTGAATTTTTCTACAAAGGCTTAAGGGTTGTGAATTGTATATACCAGTGATTCCCTGTAGCAATTGTGGACATATGCTTCAAAATGTTTAAGAGCCAGTTGTAATCCCCCTCAGGTTTCTTTGTCCTCTGTGGATGATCAGTTTTAGTGTTGATGAACTTTTTGAAAAAGTATCCATTGGCTTTTCTATGTCTGGCTCATATTCTCATAACAGGACTGCATCTAGTCATAAGTCACAGCATCAATTACTAACTTTAAGGGTTTAATGAAATTAGGGGCAGCCAACGCTGGTCCATTAATTAAATTGGCTTTCAGTCTCATAAAAACTGTTTGATAATCTCCTAAACAAAAACAGGTATTTCTGGAAAAGCTCAGCAGGTCTGGCAGCATCTGTGGAGAGAAATCAGAGTTAAAGTTTCAGGTTGAGTGACCCTTCCTCAGAACTTTTTGTTTCTGATTTATAGCATCCACAGTTCTTTCATAGTGTCATACAACAGAGATACAGACCTTTTGGTCCAACCAGTCCATGCTGAACATAATCCTGAACTAAACCAGTCCCACCTGCCTCCGGTTTTGATAATCTCCTGATCATGTTACTCTAACTTTCTTTAGTAGATCTGTCAGTGGAGCACAAATTTAGAATTGAAACCACATATCCCTGAAAAACTTCATAATTTCAGCTTTAGTTTTAGGGCCAGGGAATTCGACTTTTGCTGCTCTAGGCAGCAGTTGTCCTTGCCCTACTGTAGGTCCTAAACTGGTCACCTGCACATTTGCAAACTTTTGGCAATGTTCATCATCAAACCAATTGATTGTAATTTTTTAAATAGAACTTTCACTTGTTCTTCCATTATTCCCTATATACCATAATCAAGGTAGACTACACAGTTAGGAACGCTGGCTACTACTTGGTGCATGAGTCTCTGGAGAGTGGCTTGGGCATCTTTTATCCTGAATCACATCATCACTGGAAAAGACTGTCTAGTGTGACAAAGTTTGAAATCTCTTTTAGTTATTGATGTTAAAGCAGCCTGTCAGTATCCCTTTAACAAATCTATTTTAGTAAGAAATACTGTAGACTCTAATAACACAGCTTTCCAAGCAAGGAATTGAGTAGGAGGTGCCTTTGTTACCGCATTGACCATTCCGTAGTCTATGCACAATTTAGATTGAACCATCACTCATAAGCACTAACATTACTGGGGAATTTCAGCCAGGATCACTCAGTGGTTTTCCAACATGGATTATATTTCTCTTTTCATATGGGCCTGTTTTGCTGAACGTAAATGATAAGATGTTATTTTGTTCTGATGAAGAGTTACAGACTTGAAACATTAGCTCAGATTTCTTCCCACAGATGCTGCCAAACCTGCTGAGTTTCGCCAATAATTTCTGATTTTGTTTCAGATCTTCAGCATTTGCAGTTCTTTGTTTTATTTCAGGCCTCTTTGTTGGTCTGTATCTGAATATGAGGGTATAATGTCTGTCCTTTCTAACAGTTCAGTATTACCTAACCAGATAGTAGCTTCATCATATTGACATGACACAACCTGTTCTTCTGGTAATCTGAGGTGTCAGTTCAAAAAATTGCTTTAGCAATCCTTTTGACTACCACAGAGGGACCTCTGAACTACACTTTCAATGGACAATGCTGGATATCTGTTGGGGGAGTTCTTGGATTCAATCATTAAGAAGGCAACAGCTGAACACTTGTGAAGAGTCAGCATGGGTTTGTGAAAGAGAAATCATGTTTAACCAACTTATTGGAGTTTTTTGAAGGAGTAATGTACTGTAGAGAAGGGAAAGCCTGTTGAAGTATTATACCCTGATTGCCAGAAGGCATTTGACAAGGTGCTACAGGAAATTGGGACAATTCTGATGTCTAGATATCTAATGTTTTGATTAAATGTAACTTTTATATTAAAGTAAACTTTATAATTGTATGGATTTTAGATTTTCATCGCACAAAACAATGTATCAGGTTAATAATGTGACTACTTCATTATTTTACATAACTGTTTCACAGTTTGTTGAGATTAGCAGTTTGTGATTTTCTGTATTTGTTTTAGTTTTTAAATAGTTTTGAAGTTATGAACAACTTTTTGTACTGTCTTTTGCCCTTTCCAAAAAAAAGTAATATAAACTCTTTCCAAGCATTCAAACACAGGAGAAACCAACATGAGTGAACAGATGGCCGTAAGAGAAACTGAAAGGTTTGCCATAAGTGACCGATTTATTGGAAGCTCCGTCAACTAAGTGAGAATTGAGACATGAGCTCAAAAATATCAATCGTTGAATCCTGACTGCATATGGTTCCCTTTTATTAAACAGAAACACATAGAACATTTCAATCAACCCGCTAAACAAACACTCATAAAGTAACAATTAACAGACCATAGTGAAGAGGTGACATTAATGAATTTCCATCACACTTAACAGCCAATTAGAAATTGATCATGCATCCCATAAACTAGTTAGCAATAAACACTGCAAAGCCTAGGTCAATCAATAATGATGTAACTGATCATGTTGCGGGATGTGGTTTAGAAAGAGTTAAGAGTTTTGATGACAGAAGTACAGATCAAGTTTGAAAACAAAGTTATCCTGCTATCAAAGTGGAACAGAAGACCCTCGATGTGTTTCATAGAGAGATCAGAGACCAAGTAATGACCTACTCCCTAAGCTGAACTGGAAAGCAAGTGCTATAATATTCCAGTAAAGTCGATACCTTAATTTAATAGGTATTATTTATAATCGAAGTAAAGGTTACTTAGTTATTGCAATAGACTGTCTTCTGTTGCTTAATAATTAAAGTATCGAAATGAACAAAGTAATAGATCTTACACCAGCTTTCCACAATCTTCAAACTCAAGTCCTCAAAAATGATTAAAAATGAAGCCAATGTACCAATAGGAGCAGTTTTTTTGTTGCTTTGACCATCTTATGAACAGTGCTGCATAAAACCAAGATGTGGAGGTGCTGGTATGGGACTGGGGTGGACAAAGTCAGAAATCACACGACACCAGGTTATAGTCCAACAGGTTTATTTGAAAACACAAGCTTTTGGAGCCTCAGTCCTTCTTCAGGTGTTAGTGAGAGAGCTAGTATCAGACACAGAATTTATATGTAAAAGATCAAAGGTTCACAACATTGATGAGGATGTACTAAACAAACCTAAGATGCTGTTAAATCTTTAATCAGTTGGAAGGTTTTAATTGATTAATATGTATATGTATATATCCCCAAATTCCTTTCAAGTCACAGTCTTGAGAGAACTAAAGGTTTTATCAGTGCAAAAAAGAAGAGGTGACAGTTGAGGTCAAACAGTGCATGTTAGGTGTGAGGCCTTGTTTAGAATGTGTTTGTGTTTTAGTTTGGAGTCAGACTGGTTTTATTTCTAAAGTAAGAATTTATAAAACTCCATATTGACTGACTGTCTATAAATTGTGTGCTTTTTGAACAAAATAAAATGTATCCACAAATATAAATTCACTCTATAGATTCTCATGTGCGTGTGTGCATGCGAGTAAATGGGGGAGAGAGAGAGTGTGTGTGTGAGAGTCGGGGGGGGGGAGTGTGTGTGGAGGGGTGGAAGAGAGAGTGTGTGTGTATGTGGGAGAGAGAGTGTGTGTGTGAGAGACAGACAACATTGGCTGAGTCACATAGTGGGTGGTGTTCCCACATGTGATGGTAGTATCCATGTTGAAGATCTGATATGTCTTGCAGAGGTTACCATGACAGCGTTGTATATGTTGTGGTCGATGTTGTCCTGAAGGCTGGGTAGTTTGCTGTGAACAATGGTCTGTTAAAGGTTTGGCAGTTGTTTGTAGGTGAGAAGTGGAGGCGTAGGGAAGATCTTGGCGAGGTGCTCATTGTCATCGATAATGTGTTGAAGGCTGCGAAGAACATGGTGTAGTTTCTCCGCTCCCGGGAAGCACTCAGTGACGAAGGGCACCCTATCAGATGTATCCGATGTCTGTCTTCTGAGGAGGTCATTATGGTTTTTTGCTGTGGCACATTGGAACATAAAATCAAGAAATCTCTTTTCTTGTTCAGGAATAGGAATTTAATAGAATCCTTTTCACTTCAAATGGACTTTCATTTTGATTGGGCTTCTCACAACTACTGGATGTCTCACATCTCTCTGAAGGCAATGGGCTGCAGTCATTGTAATGTAGGAAACACAGCTGCTCACTACCAGCTCCCATAAAAATCACTGCAATAATGACTAGATAATCTGTCTTTTGTGGTGTTGTATGAAGCACAAGTACTCTGCAGGAAACTGTGGACAATTCCCTTGCCCTTCCTTGCAAAAGTTACAAGGGATCTTTTAAGTCCACTTGAGAACATACTGGTCCTTGGGTTCTAGTTTAGACAGCACCTCTGACAGTGCAGCAGTCCCGTTACTGCACCTGAGTACCACACACAATAACACACCCTCAAATAGATGTTCTAGCTCCACATATACATCAGGTGTCTGTTTGTTAGGGTGGGCAAAAGACCAGTGTTGATGAGACTTCTGTAGTTTCCAGCACAAAATTATGACTCTTTACTGAGATATTCATATATGGTACAGTTACTTTGTTAAGATTGGTCAGGAGTCCATCCAGCGTGGTGAATTCTTACCAATCATTCCCTGGTTCATATTCTACTAGCTTCCAGCTTTGAGAGAAAATCTATGACAAAGTGCATGTGAATTCTATCATCATTGACCTTTCAGTTACTAAAGAGCAATTATTCCACTCAGTGATGGGGGAGCTTTGCCTGAGGTCAAAAGACAACATTGAAGTATTTGCAATAACAAGGTTTAGAGCTGGATGAACACAGTAAGCCCAGCAGCATCAGAGGAGCAGGAAAACTGACGTTGCAGGCCTAGACCCTTCTTTAGAAATCATTTCTGAATTTCATGCAGCACAGACTGAGGAGGAGATGTTGTTTATTCACGCTGTGTCTCTCTGACGCAGCTCACAGAGAGAAGGAGGATGTTGAGGAACTGTTTCAGCTACTGGCTACACCTGGGGATGGATCACAGTATTCCAAAGGAAGAGAAATGGACACAATCATTCTGGTATACTGCATGCTGAAAAAGAGTCTAGTCGGGGACAGCCCAAGTTAGGAACAAGAAGAGATGAATAGAATGGGATATCCCAATAGAGGTAAATGGATCAGGAAATCCTGAGAAAGGTGAATGGACCAGCAGACCCCAGTAAAGATGAACAGACAGGCTTGTTCCAGGATAGGAGTAAGACATATGAAGCCTCAGAAACTGGAACTAAGGACAACTGAAGCACCAAGAGGTGGTCATTGGACAGGGCAGGACAGGTCATGGGACAGCTACACATTTAATAAGCTCAACACCCCTCCCTCCAACCATTCAGTTATCTCACAAGAGTCACTGAATCTCTCGAAACACCCAGTCGTTCTTCTGTCACACTCCGTCCCATGCCACTCTTTCCTGTGCTTCTGCCAATCCCATCCCTGCACATCATCTCTGCTCTAGATGCTGTGGGTCTTCCTCTTTCTCACTGATAGTCAGTTTGAAAGCCTCTGAGGATGAAGAATGCTATTCCCACACTAGAAATCTCTGTCAAACATTTACCAGGGGAACTGAGACAGCAGCTGCAATAAGTGAGATTTTATTCAGATGGGACACTGACAAGTTTAAATCTCCACCTGATCTGTTGCTCAAAGTCACCTCCATTTCACCGGTCAGTTTCCCAAACTTCAGGAAACTCCTGTTGCTGCAGAAATATTTGGATTGGCTGTGAGAGACGTCAATCAGAGAGCCCACCCACTCTGCCCATTCTCTCCTCTTCCTCTTCCAGAGCTGGTTCACTTCCTATTGGGACTGAAAACCAAGTGAGGAGATGGTGAGTGAAGGAGCAGCTTTTATACAAATTGTATCCCATAATATCCACACCAATCTTCAGGCAGTCTGACTATCCTGTGGGCAATCAGGGTGGAAATGTCCCTTATGCTGTGTGAGAAGATCCAGCTGAGAGAGCTGTTTACTCGGTGCTTTGTGCTGAACTGTGTGACTGGAGCTGTGTGTTGGATATTGAGTGTGTTTATTGGAAGCATTTCCCTTCTGATTTCCAGGCTGAGTTTTGTTAATGTCTCATTCCTGCATATGAGAAGGTGAGGTGTAATTCTCTGGGAGGTGCAGAGTGATTTCCTGGTGTTGAGTGTGTGTGTCGGGAGCTGGATATTATCCTGTGAACTGTAATTTATACAGTTCCTCTGAGGAAATGTGCTTATACTGAGGGAGAGCTATTCCCTGGGGAGGGTTAAAATGACGGTGTGCTGCCTCATTTTGGGGGCTAACTAGAGGAATAGGAATCTGTCATTTAGTGTCTCCAGTATGTCCCATCATTCATTGAGATCATGGTACCTTTGTGATCAAATTCCATATTCCTGGCCATCATGTCCCGCCAAACCTTCGGTGAACAGAAACCTGTCAATCTCAGATTGATTGGTGTCAGTTGATGTTACATTGAAGAAGGTTTGTGGACGTGAGTCTCAATTTTATTTCACCCATTGTGTCTGAGACTGTGTCCTGATTTTACTCCTGAAAGTCTGGCTCTAAATTTCCGATGATGGCACTGGTCTTAGACTCCCGAACTAATGAAAATAGATGATGTCTATCTCTTCTCTATTGAAAACTTAGATCATGTCAGCTTCTGAAGTGTGAGGCATGTAATCTGACTCTTAATCTCTTCTCATCATTTAAATCTTGCTAACAATGGATCATTCCAGCAAATCTACACAGTACTCCCTCCGAGAACAATATGTCTTATTCTGACACAATGTCAGGATTGTCTAGATCTTGCTGAATTCCTCTCATTATTAAACTTTGCAGCGATTGTTTATCATTCTTTGCTCAGCCACTTCAGAGGCCAGTTCAGGGTTAGCGATGTTGTGTGGGACTGGACACACAGGTAGACCAGTCCAGGCAGATGTGGCAGGTTCGCCTTATGAAGGACAATATTTAGGCTTAAGAACAAGATTTTTATATTTTGATTTTGTTCCACATATTCTAAAATTTATTAAATTTGCCTTCACAACATGGAGTTGTTGAGGTGAACAGCAGAGACACCTTTAAGGGGAAACTAGTGTCACGACATAATGAGCAAATGTGCAACAATAAATAATTCCCGCAGTTCCAAAAGTAGTCAAAAATGTACAAATGAATACAAATCCCATTGAGACCATTAAAACTCTATTTTCCTGACTGAACAGGATTCTGGATAATCCAAAATGGAGGATGGGACAAAAAACTGTGGTTGTAAGAGCTGCTCCTTTTTTTGAGGTATTTTACGTGTTGGAGCTGATTTCCGCGAATTTTAGGAGCAGTAATTACTGTTTTATAAGCTGTTGCATTGTGTTGGAACTGTAGGGAAAAATGATTAAAACAATGGCACTTTATAAAAAGAGGAAGAGAGAAGGAGCAGATACCAAGTGGGAAGTGAAATAAACGGAAAAATAAACCTGCACAGCTGTCTGACTGCCTCTGCTGTTCGGTTTCAAGTGTCTCTAGACACAGAGCTGGTTCTCAGAAAAATAAACAAACAGCAAAATTCACAGCTGACCTTGGAGAAACCTGTGTGGAAGAGTTCACAGCAGGGGAGCAGCTAAGTGGCTAGTTTTTAGTGTAGTCTTACAGTTCATTTTTGTAAATCTACAACAGTGAGAAGAGTGGGTTCTTTTTTGATTATATGTTTTTATTGAGATCTGTCTCTTGATTAAACTTTAAAAATATAAAACATAGGTACTAAGTTACCCTTAGAGCAGCAAGACTGGGCTATTTTCTGGGTCTGTAGATTGTTAAGGTGCAAAGATGGCCTTTAGTAGAGTGATGAGTTCTTCCTGTTGGATGTTAGAGATTAGGCAGACTTTCCATGTTACTGATGATTATGCCTGCAGGAAATGTGTTTGATTGTGAATCCTATTAGATTGCATGGGTCAGCTGGAGTGCCAGTTAGAGTCCACGAAGAATTGACAGGAGCTAGGGGATATAATGGATGGCAGTTGCAAGAAGGGAGAAAAACCACATATGTAGTCAGGTAATTGGACTACCTCCAGGAAAGGTAGGAGTAGTAGGCAGGATGTGCAGGAGTCTCCTGTGGCTATCCCCATCTCAAACAGTGTGCTATTTTGGAAAATGTAGGGGGCAATACACTGTCAAGAAATGTAGCACTGACAGCCAGGTTCCTAGTACTGAGACTGGTTTTACTATAACAAGGGGTACGTCAGGTTCCAAGCAATCGATTGTGATAGGGGACTCTCCAATCAGAGGCACAGACAGATCTTTCTGCGGCCGACAATGAGACATCAGAATGGTGTGTTGCCTCCCTGGTGTCAGAATCAAGGATATCTCAGACAGAGAGCGCAGAATATTCTCAAAGGGAAGAGGGACCAGCAGGAGGTTGTTGAACACACATTGGAACTAATGACATAGGAAGAGAAAAGGACAAGATTCTGAGGTGAGAATACAGGAAGTTAGACAGGAATTTAAAAAGTAGGTCCTTGAGGGTAGTAATATCTGGATTATTCCTGGTGCCACGAGCTAGTGAGAGTAGGACAGAGCAGATAAATGTGTGGCTGAGGAGCTGATGCTGGGGAGAAGGATTTACATTTTTGGATCATTGGAATCTCTTCTGGGGTAGAACTGACCTGTATAAGAAGGACAGATTGCATCTGAATTGGAAGGGAACTAATATGCTGGCAGGGAGATTTGCTAGTGCTGCTTGGAAGGAATTAAACTAGTAAGGGGAGGGGATGGGGTCAGACCCAAGGAGACAGTGAGAAAAGAGATCAGTCAGAGACTGGTACAGTTGGGAAAAGAAGTGAGTCAAACAGTCAGCGCAGGCAGGAACAAAGCAGAGAACAAGGTAGGACTGATAAATTAAACAGCATTTATTTCAATGCAAGAGACCTGACAGGTAACGCAGATGAACTCAGGGCACGGTTGGTGACAATGGGACTGGGATACCATAGCAGTTACAGAGGTGTGGCTCAGGGATGGACAGGATTGGCAGCTTAATGTTTTCAGGTAATAAATGCTATAGGAAGGATAGAAACGGCAGCAAGACAGGAGTGGGAGTGGTGATTTTGATTAGGGATAATATTACAGCTGTACTTGGGGAGGATATTCTGGGAAGTATGTCCAGTGAAGTTATTTGGATGGAACTGAGAAATAAGAAAGGGATGATCATTTTATTGTGATTGTGCTATAGACCCTCCAATAGTAAGCAGGAAACTGAGAAACAAATTTGTAAGGTGATCTCAGTTATCTATAAGGATAATAAAGTGGTTATGGTAGGGGATTTTAACTTTCCAAACATAGACTGGGGCTGCCACAGTGTTAGGTGCTTGGACGGAGAGGAATTTGTTAAGTGTGTACAAAAAAATGTTCTGATTCAGTATGTGGACGTACATACTAGAGAAGGTGTAAAACTTGACCTACTCTTGGGAAATAAGGCAGGGCAAGTGACTGAGATGTCAGTGGGGGAGCACTTTGGGACTAGTGATCATAATTCCCTGCAGAGACTGTGAGAAACACTACATCAGACAAACAGGAAGGAAACTAACAACAAGGGTACATGAGCACCAACTGGCTACAAAAAGACACGACCAATACTCACTCATGTCAATCCACATGGACAAGGAGAACCACCATTTCGACTGGGACAACACGAAAATCCTGGTACAAGCTAGGCAGAGACAGGCACAAGAATTCCTAGAAGCCTAGCACTCCACGAAGCATGCTATTAATAAAAACATGTTGAACTCGACCCCATAAACACTCCACTAAGAAGGAAAACCGGAAGTGAGGCAATCCAGCTCAACAGACTCCAGAGTTTAAAAACCAGACGGGAAAACACACCAATGCTTCATCGGAGGCTGCACTGAGGATGTTACCCAGCAGGGTAACGAAACGTCTGCGAAACAAGAAGCCAGCTTGGTGAGCCAACCAACCTCAACACCCACAACCTGAGCTACAGATCTACTCCAAAACCTTAGTGATCATAATTCTGTTAGTTCTAAAATAATGATGGAAAAGGATGGACCGGATCTAAAAGTTAAAATCCAAAATTGGAGAAAGGCTAATTTTGACGATATTAGGGAACAACTTTCGAAAGTTGACTGGGTGGATGGGGGTTGTGGATATTTGTAGGTAAAGGGACAGCTGGAAAATGGGAAGTCTTCAAAAATGAGATATTGAGAGTCCAGAGACAATCATGGTTTTGGGTCAAGAATAAAAAAGGAAGAACTTGTCAGCAGAGATCAAATGAACCCCTACAAGAGCATAAAGGCAGTAGGAGTATACTTAAGAGGGAAATCAGGAGGACAGAAAGGGGACATGAGATAGTGTTGGCAAATAGGGTTAAGGAGAATCAAAAGGGATTCTACAAGTACACTGAGGACAAAAGAGTAACAAGGGAGTGAATAGGGCCCCTTAAAGATTAGCAAAGCTGCCTATGTGTGGAACTGCAGGAGATGGAGGAGATACTAAACGAGTATTTTGAATCAGTGTTTGCTGTGGAGGAGGATATGGAAGATAGAGAACATGGGGAAATAAATAGCAACATCTTAAAAAAATGTCCACATTACAGAGGAAGTGGTGCTGGATGTCTTAAAACGCATAAAGGTGGATAAATCCTTGGACCTAATCAGATGTACCCTCAAATTCTGTGGGAAGCTAGGGAAGTGATTGATGGATCCCTTGCTGAGATACTTGTATCATCAATAGCCTCAGGTCAGGTTAGCCAGAAGACTTGAGGGTCGCTAAAGCGGTACCACTATTTAAGAAAGGTGGTAAGGAAAAGCCAGGGAACTTTAGACCAGTGAGCCTGACATCGGTGGTGGGCAAATTGTTGGAAGGAATCCTGAGGGACAGGACTTACATGTATTTGAAAAGGCAGGGACCGATTAGGGATAGTCATCATAGCTTTATGTGTGGGAAGTCATGTCTCACTAACTCGGTTGAGTTTTTTGAAGAAGTAACGAAGAGGATTGATGAGGGCAGAGTGGTGGACATGATCTATATTGATTTCAGTAAGGTGTTTGGCAAGGTTCCACATGGTAGACTGGTTAGCAAGGCTGGATCACATGGAATACAGGGAGAACTAGCTATTTGGATACAGAACTGACTCGAAGGTAGAAGACAGAGGGTGGTGGTAGAGAGTTGATTTTCAGACTGGAGGCCTGTGACCAGTGGTGTGCCTCAAGGATTGGTGCTGGGTCCACTGCTTTTCGTCATTTATATAAATGATTTGGATGTGAACATAGGAGGGATGGTTGGTAAGTTTGCAGATGACACCAAAATTGGAGGTGTAGTGGACAGTAAAGAAAGTTACCTCAGAGTACAATGGGACCTTGATCAGATGGGCCAATGAGCCGAGGAGTGGCAGATGGTGTTTAATTTAGATAAATGTGATGTGCTGCATGTTTGAAAGGCAAATCAGGGCAGGACACTTAATGGTAAGGTCCTGGGGAGTGTTACGGAACAAAGAAATCTCGGAGTACAGGTTCATAGTTCCTTGAAAGTGGAGTCCCAGGTTGACAGGATAATGAGGAAGATGATTGGTCTGCTTGCCTTATTGATCAGTGCATTGAGTTTAGGAGTTGGGAGGTCATATTGCAGCTGTGCAGGATGTTGGTTCGGCCACTTTGGAATATTGCGCGCAATTCTGGTCTCCCTGCTATAGGAAGGATGTTGTGAAACCTGAAAGAGTTCAGAAAAGGTTTACAAGGATGTTGCCAGGTTTGGAGGGTTTGAACTGTAGGGAGAAGCTGAATAGGCTGGGGCTATCTTCCCTGGAGTGTCGGAGGCTGAGGGGTGACCTTATAGAGGTTTATAAAACCATGAGGGACATGGATAGGGCGCATAGCCAAGGTCTTTTCCCTTGGAGTGAGGAAGTCCAAAACTAGAGGGCATAGGTTTAAGGTGAGAGGGAAAACATTGAAAGGGGAGCTAAGGGGCAACTTTTTCATGCAGAAGGTAGTGTATGTATGCAATGAGCTGCCAGTGGAAGTGGTGGAGGTACAATTACAACATTCAAAAGGCATCAGGATGGGTATATGAATAGGAAGGATTTGGAGGGATATGGGCCAAATGCTGGCAAATGGGACTAGATTAATTTAGTATATCTGGTTGGCATGGACAAGTTGGACCGAAGGTTCTGTTTCCATGCTGTACTATATCCCTTCATAACTCTGAATGCGTTCATGCTCTTTAAAGGTGAAGATAGACAAAAAGACAGGCAATTTGACACATCTAATATGGTGGAAAATTGCTAGATAGAGACAGGGTGAACACAACTCCTAACATCAAATGTTCAGACCACAAGGTGGAAAATTCTTTTATTCTTGCAGTCCTTTTTTATTTTTGTAATGATGAGAACGCTGTTGTGTCTCTACAGTAATGATCATCTTTAATTTGATGGTTGGTCAGATGAACTGAGGTCTTCTCTTGTATGATATCTTTCTTTTAAAATTTCTTGGGTTTTCTATCTTTTTCTGCACGAGCAGACTGAGAGGGAGAAGGATGCATTCTGTCTGCAGGCTCTGGATCGTTTTACTCTCTGCTACCTTTGGCACCTACAGCTTTAACACTCGGCAGCTCAACCAATCAGAAAGCTGGTGCCAGGTGTATTTTTGTAACATGAAAGATTATCAGTGCTATTGAGTCTTGACTTTTCCTTCTTTTTATTCCAAAAAGCTACATTGTACTGAGCTCAATAATACACATGCTATTTTTCCAGATTGTAAACAACTTTGTTGGTATCCAGTTATAGAATTTCAACTTCCATTTCAGTATATCGTCCGAAAACTGGAAAAAAGGAGTCTCTTACACAAGATAAGCACATGAAGAAGGGAACAGAAGGCTATGCTGACAGAATGGGATGAAGTGGGATGAGAGGAGGCTTGAGTGAAGCATAAACCAGTTGAGCCAAATGGCCTGTTTTCACAGTAATCCTATGTTTGTATTTTCCATGATTGGATTTGAACTCTGAAACTCTGGATTGCTAATCCAACACCATCGTAATTCAGCTGCCATACGTGGAGACACATTTATTGAAATGTCTTTCAATGCCTTTTTTAAAGATTTTACCTGAAGGCATTAGCCTTTCCCCTAAGCCTAGACTTCATTTGTCCAGTGTTGTAGCCGAGAGTTGAATCTGGAATGTGCATTCTGACAGCTTGCAGTGTATCTGATTTCCCAGAATAAATCAGAGCCCTTCAATCAGCTACACTGAAGCAATATTTTCCTCACCTTCTCGCACTTCTTGCCCAGTTTATTTTCTTTAAATAATGTTCAAAAACAAGGGGAGGAATTTCTTAATCACCATTGAATTTTAAAGTCTCCTGAGTATTTTTTCACATTAAACACATACTCTTAAGTGTAAAACTAGTCTTCACCAGCAAAACACAAACTAATAATGAATTGAGAGCCTGTTTTATACTTGGCCCAACTATTATTTCCATTGTCCTCTTGGTGCCTGGGAAGATGGGGGTCAGAGTCAAGGAAACGAAATAGCCTTATTGTCTGCTCCTGATCACTATCCAGTGCCCCTGCTGGAAACAGGGGTGTATGACAGTCAAGTGAGGAAAAAGAAAGAACTTGTATCTGATCCCCGACACAGGGGAATAGCAGACTGGCACTCACTGTGAAACAGTCTCTAACTGAGGAGTCAGCCCCTTCAGCAAAGGAGGAGAGGGAGTTGGAGAAAATCACATTTCCTTTTCCTGTTTTACAGAAGGATTACACCATATACACCAGAACGTACAGACAGGATATACTTCGTAGACAGATGCTGACCATCACCCAAGGTATAACTGTGGGAAGACATCCAGTCCCTTCACAGCATTGCTCAACACAGGGAAGGTTGGTTAGTGAAACCATCATCTGGAAATCGGTAGGGTCAAGGGAGCTTTGACATATCATCAGATCTGAAAATGGTCAGTGGTGTGGAGCCTTCAATTAGATCCAACCACTTTAAGGTTTGCGTATGAGTGATTGCTGAGAGTGAGGCTGGGAAGTGAGTGTGAGGGACTCCACAAGGTGACAAGAACATCGAACACACAAGATGCATTTGTTGTATACCTGTTAAGGAAAGAGCAACATCATGGAAGAGAAACGCTTCAAGTGTGAGGTTTGTGATAAAGCTTTTGTGAAGTCCACTCGCCTGTTGATACACCAGAGAATTCACACAGGGGAGAAACCATTCAGGTGTCAGGTATGTCAGGCGGCTTTCAGCCAATCCTCCCACCTCCTGACCCACCAGAGGTTTCACACAGGAGAAAAACCATTCACATGTCAGGTTTGTAATAAATCATTCTCGCGGTCTTCAAGCCTTCTTGAACACCAACGCATTCACACAGGTGAGAGGCCATTCAAATGCAAAATTTGTGAGAAATCATTCTCAGTGTCATCTGCTCTCCGCAGGCACCAGCAGATTCACACAGGGGAAAAGCCATTTGTGTGCAAGATTTGTGATAAATCATTCTCACGGTCAACAGGCCTCCGTGAACATCAACATACTCACACAGGAGAGACACCATTCAAGTGTGAGGTGTGTAACAACTCATTTTCACGGTCAGGGAATCTCCACGTACACCGACACGTACACACTGGGGAGAAACTGTTCAAGTGTAATGTGTGTGACAAATTATTCCCTGACTCATCAAGACTCCTGCTCCATCAGAGAATTCACATGGGGAGAAACCATTCATATGTAAGATGTGTCACAAATCATTCTCAACATCATCAAAACTCTGTGCACACCAGCGTATTCACACTGGTGAGAAACCATTCACGTGTGAGGTATGTGACAAATCTTTTTCAGAGTCATCAAACCTGCATAAATATCAACGCCTTCACACAAGTACAAGCATGGGAAGCAGATGTACGTCACCAATATGCTGCTGAGAGCTGCTCTCTCTTAAGGAAGTTGATGCTGGTTGAGAGTGAAGCAGAAACAGAATTGGACAGAAGGCATCTTGATCAGATCAAACTGTACAAGGAGATACAAGTCTTCAAATGTTGCAGACAGTTTGATGAATAGATGGCCTGAAACAATCTGTTGCTGTAAGAGAGAATTGGATAGAGACAAAGATGTACAAAGGGACTTTATTCCTGTTGTAATGGAAAATCAAACCCAGCCAGGATCTCAGTACAGTACAACGATGGTCTTAGTTCAAGTGTACACAGAGGGAGCGGCCAAGGGGATTCCAATTCTTCCACAAACAGCTCTTACTTTTATGTTCAGAAATCACAACAGGCTATGTGTTCTTTTGCATGTACACATTTACTCAGAAAAATCACACAGCTACTGTCTACCACTTTAACGATAAAAGTTGCTTTTGACTCCTATTGATAAAGGTCTTGCTTTGCTTAATGGCACCAGTTGTAGTTTGTTGTCTAGTTTCCAATGTTCTAACTCAACCCAGTTCCTGGAGCTCTCAGCATTTGTCAACGTAAGTCAAACTCACTTATGCTTTATGTTGCCCCATGCTTGATATCTCAAAAATCCCAAAAGAGATGAGAAACGAGATACTTAAGTGTAATCAAGTCAATGAGTCTAATCTGATGAAGGTAAGATAAATACTCTACTGAGCATACATCAGCAATGAATGTAAGGACCACATCAGCAAGTGCTATGTAGTATGCCTTACTGGTGTGAAGAGCTGTAAATGAAGCGTTGGTCTTTGCAGATCATTACAAAACTTAAAGACTTTTGTAAGTACAGAGGATTCTCAAATCTACCTGTCTTTTAAACCAAGGGTTCACAGAAAGTACAGACCACATTTCTGTTCTTAACCAAAATTACGATTATTAGAAATAAATACTCTCACTAGAGATAAACAATTGTGAACCGTCAATATAAAACTGTAACCCATACGTAAAACTCCGCCTCTACGCACACATACAAATGGACACAAAAAGTATGGATGTTATGGGCAGAGAGAAAAAGATTGGGCAGACAATGCAGTGATCCTTGGCCACAGCTTTTGCTAAGATGATCCTTTCATGGATCAGAACACTGCTTCTTGACCTTCCTTCTCCAGGTACTTTCACTTGCTTACAGGAGGCACTGGGTGACTGGTTCACACTTATAAACGTCTCTGAAGTATTAATTACAAGTCACAGCTTACTCAACTGGTTAAGGGAAATCAGCTATCTTCAGGCTTCAGGTACTTTTTACTACAAAACAGAAACGACTCTTTTCCTTCCAGAGGTCTGATCGCTTCTGCCCAAACATTCCTTCCCAAAATCTGTTCACCTAGCTTGCAGCCAGTCATATTGTTGTTGATAGACTGGAAGCCTATGTCATTGATAACTAATCATTAGTCCACAGACTAATCAGCTACTGGTTGCTGGCCAAAACTCTGTTCGTACACAGCTTTCCCTACTGCTTGAACCAACAGCTATGTAAACAGCACTTAACCTGAGTTTCAGGTTATTTGCTTTTATAAAATGCAACAAGTGCAGTAGATTCAATAAACCTTGACTTTTAAAAGTTATTTTCCCAGGGGAGGATCCTGTTATCATTGCCCATGTAATTATTGCTGACATCGTCAGTATGAGGAGCTCACTGCCTAATAAAGAAGTAGAACCCCAAAGGTCATAATTTCTGCTTTATTCTCTGAGTCATATGCATATTTGCAGAGGACACATCAGAACAGAGATGAATACTGATTTAGGAAAGGTGGATTCAGCTTTGTGTGGCACCAGCAGGACTACTGGGGAAAGTAGGATCCGTACTGATGGGATGATCTCCACCTGTACCACGCTGGGCCCAGTACTCCACAGATCAGACTTGGGAAGATATGGTAAATCAAAGAATAGAGTCAAGGTGAAAGAGAAGGGTACTAATACAGGAAATGAGAAACAAATCATGACAGGAAGAATTAGAGAGTCTAAATCTGAGAGACTGCCAGCAGACAAGACTAGCATTTAGAGAGCAAGTTAAGAAAATCACTAGATAAATTAAATATTCTGTATTGACTGCATTAGCTTTTGGAACAACAGTGATGAACTGAGATGGCAAATAGACCTAAATAAGTATGATCTGTAGTCCTTACTGAGACATAGCTGCAAGAAGACATGGATTTTGACCTGAATTTTGAAGGGTGTGGCACATTTAGAAATGACAGGAAATAGGAAAAGGTGGATAGCGTGGCTCTGTTAGTGAATGATCTGCAGTTTTTCTTGCACAATTTTTAAGTAGATCATTTGGTCCTGTAAATAATTTGGCAACATGATCATAAATCACTATCAAAACATTCCTAAAATGCACACACCTTCATCCTCTGTTACAAAAGCAAAATATTGTGAATGCTAGAAAGCTGACATAACATCAGAAACTGTTGGAAATCCTCAGGTCAGGTAACATCTGTGGAGAGAGTAGCAAATCCTCTGCAAAGTTAGACATGCCACAAACAGTATTCTCCTCCTCTTCTCCAGTTTTCAAAGAAATTCATTCAGCAGATGTGAGCATTGCTGACTGTGACTACATCTGTTGCCCATCCCTAATTGCCTTCTTGAACTGCTGCAGTCCATATGGTGTAGGGACATCCATAATGCTGAAGGGGAATTCTAGGATTTTGACCAAGCAATTGCTTGGCACATTTCTGCCTCAACAGTAATAGCCAGCGAATCTCCTGAAGTAGTTCATTTTCCAGCCCAGAACAATGGATTCAGACCACAGGTCTATTCTTGGCCCCCATTCGTTTCTCAGAAACATACCAACAGATGGTGTCCCCAAACTAGTTGTTGACTTGGGCCCCCATTTCTACTTCAGAGACTTTGTTTGATAAAATTTACAGCAGCAAATGGCACCCAGTGTTCAGGAGTTCGAATCTGAGTTCTGAAGAAAGGTCACTAGATCTGAAACATTAACTCTGCTTTCTCTCCACAGATGCTGCCAGAATTGCTGAGTTTTTTCAACAATTTCTGCTTTAATTTAAATCTGAGCGCCTGAGCAACTGTCACGTGGATGGTGCTGAAATTGGAAGTGCGCGCCTGTAAATTGCAGGCCCTGGTGGTGGGAACCGGGTTCGCTGCCCATCCTCCTCCCTCCACCTGATTGGTTCCCTGGAGGTTGTGTCTGTCTGCCTAATACACCACAAGGAGTGGGAATGGAACTGAAGAAGAAGATGGGGAAAATACCCCAGCCTACAGTGACATTGTATGGGTGTTTTGAATGCAATGGCAGTGACTCTTACTGTTGGATGTTAAGTGTTTTAGTGAATAGGAACACATTATGCTAACAAATCAGGCCAAGCAGCATCAGAGGAGCAGGAAGGCTGACGTTTCGGGCCTAGACCCTTCTTCAGAACCCATTTCTGAAGAAGGGTC